AACTCTTATAAGAATATACATATTTTTTTCTGTTAATGTACAAATATTTTTCCGATGTGTTTTGGATATTCCTTCTCTAATAAAAAGAGATACCATTTTGTTTTCGGTTGTACAAGAAAGAAGATCAAGCATTTTTCTTTTTTAAATTTAATAAGCCACATTAAAGAAGGAACGTTGCAATGCTACACGCTACATTAACGACGTCTCCAGAGTAACTGAATGACGGTTCATATGGAAATCGCAGGTAAGCGTCTCATACAACAACGCCCCCTATAGTTCGTTGCGATCGCGAATTCTTGTTAATAAAGCCAGAATACACGGTATTTAAACTTTAAATTTAATAATTTTTCGATTCATATGGTAACTGTTTACCGGAAATTTTGGTTTTATAAATTACATTAAAATATTTTTCTTATTGCTACACACTTACTGAAAATGTAAAATTGTAATGTAAATTAAACCGATTAAATGGTCATGCTCAAAGGTACCATGATAAAACTACCAAACTTTACCACAGTTGCCAATTTTTATAACATGATTATAAAATAATATTTCATTGTTAATTTTAGCAAATTCATTACCTTTTTGCGTTTTAATAAAAATTACCGAGATTTGTGGTGCTCTCCGAGAAACAGATTAGTAGATTTTTTTTAATTTTGAGAGCGGTTGTATTTTTAAGAACCAAGTCACGAATTCTTTTTGTCATTAATTTAATTTTTCTTGTAACTTAATTTGTTTTTAATTTGGTGTAGGGTGGATTGAAAGCTGTAATTTGGACTGAAACTTTTCAGACTATGTTAATGATAGTATGCATCTTATCAATGTATGTAGCTTGTGTTGGAGATGAAGGTAGCTTTTATGAAATATTTGAAAAAGCAAACTTGGGGCAAAGGTTGAATATTAAGTAAAGTATTTTTCTTAGATATTAATTTTTTCAAAGTTTTGAATTCGGAATTAGTTTTTTAAACTTGGATTTTATTAGAACGATTTATTTTAAGTTGATTACGGATTTATGCTAATTTATGTTTATTTTGTAAGTTACTATACATATTATTAAGAAAACATTCATGTGTGATGCAATTTATATGATGTCATTTATAAAACAATATAAAATTATTTTTCTTTCGACTTATGTTAACTTACAAAGTTATTTATATGATGTGACATTTTTCCAGTAATTTAAAACAATTGTTTTGCAATTTTTGTCAACTTACTATTACAATGTTATGATGTCTATGTTGCATTTCATAATAATTATTCTTAAGGCTTATGTCAGATTGGTTAAGCTATTTACATGTTATAGCGTCAATGTTGCAATTTATAGGAATTACTTTGTGGCTTATGTTACTACCGGGTTGAGTATGTTAATTCATGTTCCTTCATATTTTTATTTGGGTTTATGTTTAACTTCTCGCTGATTATGTTAATTTTGTGTATCAGACTTAAAACTGTATTTTAATAATAAATATTGAGAAACACAAAATATAGGTGAATGACAATGAATATGAAGACTTTATTTGAATATACAGGCTCAGCTCCACTAATTAAAGTATAAAACTGGACTCATATTCCCTTGTGTAGAAGTTATTTCTATCTTTTTTTTAAAATTTAGTACACGCCAGCTTATAACTGGAATTCTAAATAAGAAGAATTTGAAAGAATGAACAAGAGTAGAGTTATTTCACACGGAGAAAAAATTCTGGTAAAATTACCGTACTGGATGGTAAAAATATACGGTATTTACACCATTTAATTTGTAATTTTTCCATTCATATTGTAAAGTTTTTCCGGAAATTCTTGTTTTCAAAATTACAGTTCTTATTACCACACGTTTGGTAAAAAACACATCACTGAAAATTTAATGTAACTAAAAATAATCCTTTTTATACCATTCTCTAAAGTTCCATGATAAAATTACCAAATTTTAGCACATTTACCAAATTTTATCACTCATTACGAAATCATGTTTTATTGTTAATTTTACCAAAATCATTGCCAAAGCACTTCGGTAAAAATTACCGAGCTTATTGGTGTTCTCCTAGAGCCAGAAACACGGTACTTTTACCATATTCTGGTAGTTTTTGCCATATTTTTTTTCTCGGTGCAATAATTAAGAGAGGAAAGAAATACAATAAACTGTATTCTAAGGGCTACATGTTGATAAAAAATGCATAAAATGATATTATTTACACATATATCTCCGTAAATTAATTTAAAATGTAACTACATTTTTATAAATATCTTATGATGATAATATTAAATGAAAACATTAAAAATTTACCCCAAAAATTTCTTTGAGATCTAATCATTGAAACTAACATTTATAATTTTTTTTTATAGCTCTCTCAGTACGTCGAGATTTATTTTTTATTTCTTCATACAAATAATATCTTTAAAAAACTTTTAGTTTTGAAATGGATCCCAGTAGAAGATATAGTTTCTTGGCATGCATAATCTCAGGCTTAGTTTACGGATTATGTTTTCATGGAACAAACCAAATTCAAGTACAGAAAGTTCTCAGCTTGAGTAATGCAAACAAAGCAAAATCGTAAGAGCTTTTAAGTATTTCTTAAATAGACTTTACATTTTAAAATAAAAGGAAATATTGTAATTAAAATACTAATTTGAAATTAAATTGTTTTGAAGTATGAAAATTTGATTTGTCCACAGTTCACTTCAGTGGTCTATTTTACCAGTGTCTTTGATGTATGTTGGATGTGCTATGATTGGAATTATTTTATATTCTATTTACTACGATTGTGATCCAATTTTAAATGAAGAGCAAACTGGAATTACCAGATATAATCAAGTAATTCTAATTTATGCTATAGATTTTTTTTATGATATATTATAGATTGTTTATAATTTTTTATGATATGTTGTAGATTTTTATGATTTTTTATGATATGTTATAGATTTTTTTTATGATTTTTTATGTTATGTTATAGATTATCATTATTTATGATATGTTATAGATTTTTTTATGATTTTTCATGATATGTTACAGATTTTTTTATAATTTTTTTATAATATGTTACAGATTTTTTTTATGATATAGATTTTCTTTCATGATATAGATTTTTTAAGGTTTTGCCATTTCTTACTAATAATTTATAATATATAAAGTGAAAGTTCATATGTAATACTAAAAGGAAAGCAAAACGTATTTGTTTTTATAATAATTCATAGTAATTTCTTTCATATATTGATGTTTTCGAAGCATCAAAAACTTAAAATACTTCATTCCTTCGATTTGAGACAAATGACGCATAAAATGAATAGATTTTTTTACAAGAAAACATTGTAATATTTGTAGCAGGTCATGTTAATGTAATAAATAGGAATGTTTTCACGCAGATGATTAACAATTAAAACCGACAAAATTGACAGTAGTACTAAAAGTGCATTGTTATAAGATAAGGAATTTTACGTGACGTATAAATTTTTTTTAAACAATTCTTTTATCTTTATGCTATTATTAAAAATTAAAAAATTGAGAAAGAGTTTATTTATGATCAAGTGAATCACGTTTATATCTTAATGCATAGTGTGTAATAAATAAATAAATTAATAAATAAATGAATGAATGAATAAAAAAGCGAAACATCCTCCATAACTTTTGATCGAATGATCAAGATTTTCCCGTCCTAAGACTCAGTCTTACTTGTTAAAGCGGGAGTGACCTCAAATATATTAATTAATTAATGCAAGCAATTTTTAACTCTCAATAAACATACCTCTTTTTCGATGGATTAAGATTCCTGATCTCCAAAATATAAGGGGTAGCCGCAATCTGAGTAATATTATCCCATCAGATTTGTCAAGAATGCTGCTGAAAGTTAATTTTACTCACTGTTAATTTTACTTTTTGCGTATTTGCAATATGTTAGTGAGAAATAGAATTCTTAAAAAGTTAGATGTTTCATAATTCACAAAAACTATACAACCGATTTCGTTCTAGTTTAATGTCTTTCCACATAAAATTACAATTTTTAACGTGATATAAATATTTGTATGCCTTGCACTTCAAAATGTTTTCGATCATTATTAACTAAAATAACAAATAATTATTGAAAATTATTTTTTCAAGTAATTATTTCTGAATAATGAATTTTATTGTTGGATGCAAATAAAATTTTCAATTTTTTTAAAAAGTTTTCGAGATCTGGCGAAAAATTCAAAAACAAATTATTGAATTCGAATAGCAAATTATTTCATTCAAACTTTGGATCGTTCTCTTAATTAAACTATTGGGACCATATTTCTCAGGTTGTGGCTACCCCCAATACTTTGGGAGACAGATATCATAATCCGTCGAAAAAATGCATGTTTATGCAGAGAGCCTAGGGTTTCGTGTCTGATTTTGTAACTTAAAACCTGCACTAACTAAATAGCATACTCGAGGTAATTCCCTTGAACCACAAATATTGATTCCTAGTTCATGAAAATCCGATCAGTGAAAAATCAAAGGTATTCAGGGTGTTTCGTTTATTTTTTTGCGAACTGCACAGCCAATTAAAATTACTCTCAGCAATTTTTACTGAAACCGTTGCAAATTAAAATAATTTTACGTTTTTACCTAATGATTTAGAAATCTTTTTCGTTCCTAGTTGGTTCCAGCATTTATATTGAGCAAATATAGCTCCATCTCTGGAATGACAGGGCTCTACATAGCTGGGATTTTCAGCGCTTCATTAGGCACAATGTCATCAGCACTAAACTCTGCTTCTACTATAACTGTATATGACTTTATAAAGCCTCTCTACAAAAATGGAGACTTGTCAGATATCAAAATGTACTGGTTGGCCAAAGTAATGTGTAAGACTTATCATCTAGTTTACTTTTAATGTTAAGGTAATTGCAGTTCCAAATTATACATGTGTGCGCAGTCACCCTATTTAATATATATTTTGAAGAACAATTATTTCAATTAACCACTTCTTTATTGGCGTCACCTCTCATAAGTTCGCCTTTTTTTAACCCACATGGTCAGCGTCGCATGCGATGAAGAGAAAAATTACATTATTGAAATGGAATTCATCGTTAATTTCACGTCTCTTTAAATCCCGTGATTATTTTTGTATTTCTGAATATTGTTAGGAGATGGCGCAACAAGTCCCACATTCTATACTATTTTCACAGTACGATTTCCCGCCTTGAATTGAAATCAAAATCATTTCGTACTTTCTGTAATTTCGCTTTCATTAGTGTAATCATAATTTTCATGTACAGTTTAAGTCAAAGAACATTGTCGGATAGAATATAACAAAGGATACTGGAAACTGAATATTTCTTTTAATGTTTTAAGTTAAGTTTGAAGCTGATTTTTATTTATTTTTAGTCATAAAAAACAATTTGTAGAAATAGTCTTTTATATTAATAAAACAGAATTTTATAAAACGTTTAATTGTCCAAGCCACATTTAGGGCAAAAATAAAAATCCTGCGATTTTCTTTTCTTTCACCCATATTAAATTCTAACCCCTTCTTAACTCATAACTTAAGTGTAGATTTGACAGAATAAGTACAGCTAACTAGAAGATATTTCTGCATTTTAAAGCTAAATTAATCTTTATAATTAAAGTCTTACTCAATGTACTATCATTAATTATGTATATACTTTTATTCAGTTTATTTGCTTTTATTAAGTAATCAAACGTAACACAGTATAAAAGAAAAAGGTCGAAAATTATTTTCAAGCCAATTATGAATTCATTATATCATTCTTATTATACAACTCTTTTTAAAGCTATATTCTATGGAGCAGTTTGCATTTGCTTGAGTTTTAGCTTCTCATGTTTGAAAATACCTCTACAACTTGCCACTGCCTTGATCAGAGTTACTCAAGGACCGATCCTGGCAGTGTTTTTGGTTGGAGTTTTGAGTAGGAAAGCTTCTGATAAGGTACGTAAAAAATATTTTTTTAAATATCAAATTTCATATCTTTAAAAACAGTATAGTCTATTAATTTCTGATTGTTTAAGTTATTTTACAATAATTTTATCAATTGTCGACCGTGCGTTGACTTGCACAAGGTAGTTTAGTTTTTCCATCGCAAGGAAACTATTGAAGCCCAAAATATAGTGCTAGTTTCATTAGTTAAAATAGAGGTCACATATAGTTTGTCTACGGTAAGAACTACCTCACCACAAAGTCTGAGGCCGTCTGCTTCTGTGGAAACGGGAATAGTTCATTTCAGGGGGGTAGCTTCTCTTCCAGTTAGGGCCAACATAATAGACTGAAAGAAAACATTTCCTTTCTCTCACCGACACGAGCCAAAATATGTCCTAAATAATGACCCCACACCCCTACTTGAAATAGTTTTATCTCGTTTCCATAGTCACCGCCACGAGTTTAGAAGAATGGCATGGGGAGTTCTTCCGTTAGACAAACTATTGATTCTGGTTGGAGGGAGAAAAAGCTTCACACAAATAAAGATTTCTTTTTACAATTACACCCTCCCTCCCGCGTCGAAGTAAATAATCTGTAAACTAAATTGTATTTTTGCAGTGCTATACAAAAATGATAGAATCGCATGGAGTTTTATTTATGCAAGAAAACTATTTGGTTAGATGAATTAAATATCTCTGACAATTATTACTGAAAATCGAAAAATAGCCTCGGGTTCGGAGACTAATTTTGATAAAAATGAAAATTAGATGATTAAAAAAATTGTAATAATAAATAATAAGAACTCATTTTTAAAAAAATTAAAAATAAATTTGCAAAACTTATGAATTGATTTTTTGCAAATATTTTAAATTCTTTTTGAGTGAAAGGGGTTCAAACACCGAAATAATTTATTTTGATTTATCAAACAATACCAGTACCAATTAGTACCAATATCAAATTGGCAAGCATAAATATTGAATGATGTAAATGAGAGTGTATTCAAAACCTATTCTCAAAAATTGATTCAACTTTGAATTCTAATGCCTGAGATCTCAATGAATTGTTAAATTGGACCCTGTAAGTTCAACTATAGTATCCGGTATTCAAGTTTAAAGTGGTTTGCACGGTTCCATTGAAACCTTATTAAGATTGCGGAAAACTTAGTTTACGCAGTTATTAAGATTGCAGATACCAAAGTTTAACGCAGTCCAATATTTCTAATAATGTAGAGAGCTTCAATAGAAATATTTTATAAATGAAATTGTTTTTAACAATCACTAATTTAAATATTAAAACTCAATGATCTTTAGAATATTATGATTCTATCAAAAGGCCAAAACTGAATTGTTATTAAAGTAATTTATTTTGAAAGTTGTTTTAATCTATTTACCTTAAATCCACATTTTTCGGTTATAAAAGTTTAATTTGTAATAAAATGCTGATTTTGTTTATATTACTTAGTGTGTATCGTTTGCTTTCATTGCGGGAAATGTAATAACTTCTTGGATAGCATTTGGATCTTTGTTTTCTCATTATAATGAACCTTCTCTGCCTTTGAGTATCAACATGTGCAATAATCACAATACAACCAATTATGATTATCTGAATATATCATCTACTTTTAACCTAGAAGAAACATCTTTCTCATCTTTATCTACTGAGTTACCACACGCGTAAGTATTAAATATATTATGTTCTATTTTTTAATTTACAGGGAGTGGAGAAAAATAACGTTAACGCTGGTGTATTAATTTAAAGAAGCAATAAATTTCTTCACGCTAAAGCTGTTTTTTTAGATCTTAAAACTAATGTCATATTTTGAAAGATTATAATCAAAACGTTTGATTAGAACAATTTGTTCTCACACTTTTTTTTTCTCCAATGCCCACCTGGAGAATGACTTATGTCATACAGGCATCTGAAGGGCAGATTTACGGGCCACTCTTTCATGGGCACCATATTAGGTGGGCCAACGTTGCTCCCACAGTAAGGGCAGATAGTACAGAGAAGGAAAGAACATCCATACCTTGCCCGGGATTCGAACCCAGAACCTTTCTGAAGCAAGTACAGCTTCCTAACCCCTACACACGCCGGTCGGCTGTTCTCATACTAAACTCCATTAAATGCTAGATTTATATTATAACAACAAATTGTATTAGTTTTATTCCGTAGCTAATAGCTTAAAAACTAAAATTTGCAGATAAATACGTAAATAAAGTTAGTACAGTGCGCAAAAAAGGGACACCCTGAGTAACTTTTGTTCTAATGATCAGATTTTCCCGTGCTAGAGCTCAAATTTAATAGTTCGTGGTGGTGACCTCAAATATGCTACCTAATTAGAGTAGACAATATTTTAAATTAAGAAATCTGACACAAAAACATAGTTTCTCTGAATAAACATACCTTTTGTTTTTTTTATTGATTTGGTCAGAAGTCGTAATATGTGGGCTTAGCAACAATCTGGAAAATGTTATCCCAACAGTTTTATCAGCTGTGTAGTCGATAGTTAGTTTAATGTTAATTATACTTCTTGGGTATTCCGCCATATTTTGAGAATTATTTTAAACTATTTAAAAAAATTTTTACACACAATTTCAAAATTTCGAATTGTAAGTCATACAAAATTTTACAACATTTTAAAGAATATAATTTTAAGTGGCAAAACATAAAATTAGAATAAAATCGGTTGAATAGTTTCTGAGTAAACGAATTATCCATATAGACGATTGATTTCGCTAGTTTGATTTCGCTATACAGGGTTATTCATAATCCCTCCGGGATTTCGAAGCGTTATAGTAAAAAAAAGAAGACGAATATGAAAAAAAAGAAACATATGAAATTATTAGACCGGGATAGCCTGGTCGGTAGGGATCTGGGCACATGTCCGAGAGCTCGTGAGTTCGAACCCCGCCGGCCGAAGACTCCCCGTGTAGTAAAGTGACAGGTGCACGTTAAATCCGTCGAGTCGCAAAAGTCCTCCTTGTTCCCATAGCAAATCAATACCTCTGGGGTTACTGAATTGGAGATCGATCGTTCTCTGATTCAGGTCAAAATTACGATCTGCGCATGAAGGAATGGATGTATGAATGGGTCCGCCCTATAAACGGGTGAGACGTATGATGTGGCAGAAGTCGAATTCTTGGCCATAGATGGCACCACTGGAAAACAAGAACAATCGCTCCTCCTCTGCTTAAACAGGCATACGTCAACAACAACATATGAAATTATTCCGAAACTATTCAAGTTTTACTTACATGCATTACAGGCGTTCTATGTGTGAACCCTTGGTCACACGGCATACATCAATGCGATAGTCCAGTTTCTGCCCGGAGGGAATTATGAATAACCCTGTATAATGTTTACTTAGCATTAAGGGGTCCAAACTTTCGATCGCTGACCTGACCAAAGTATTGGGACTATATTTTCTAGCTGGAGGTTAGTCCCCAAAGTCTACATATGTCAAAAAACAGTATATGGAGAAAGTACGCATTTATGTCAAATATTTTAAATGTCACCTCCGTGAGCAATTAAATTTGAAAACGTGAAAATCTGATCACTAGATTAAAAGTTATTTAGTTTTCCATTTCCTTGCTCACTCTGGATTAAGCATATTGGCTTAAAAGTATTTTTATAAGCATTTGGAAGAAAAGTTTAGAAATCGTTGTTATTGGAAAAAAATGAAGCTTTAAATTTCTTTATTTAATAACTACATTTCGTGGAAATTAGAATGGACTCAATTCCCTCTATTGATATTGAAAGATTTTATACTAATCTTTTTGAGCAGCCTCAAATTTATGAAAATTTAAAATTTTTCCTGTTGCCAGACTGAGAAAAAATATTGCATCTTTTAAAATGAACTTATCATCATTCACAATAGCTTCAGTAACCTTATATAATTTTTTTTTTACTTAACCTGGTTTTTCAAAGCGCTTCCGTCAAGTAAAATAAAAAAAAAGATTAAGTACCTCACACTTGAAGCAAAACAATAATTTTAAACTATATTTATCATCTTGCTGAGAAGAATTATCTGAGCATTCGAACGGACAAATAAATGAAATATTTTAATTTTTTAAAAAGCGCTAATTTGGCGACATTTAACTACCCAGAAGAGAATTATCAAAATCACTGTTACAGCAAATTTTTATGAGCATAGGAAATGCAGCATGGGAAATGCAGCATGGGAGTAAGTTTTTAAACATTACAATGTTAGACCAAAAAAGCATTTCATTTTAACAAAACTGCAGCTCTTCTCCATATTAACGTTTTGCGCCATTTTCATAATAAGCATAGATAGAGCTAGCTAAACTAGTCCTAACAGTCACGAGTAACTGTTGCTAACTCACAGCAATCATGAAAATAGCATATTATTCGCAAAAAATCATCATTTCATACGAAGACGAAGTTTTCGAAAAACAACCTTTATACAGAATTTTTAAACTTTGCCATAACAGACTATTCTAAACTGGTGATTTAATTTTGTGTTGTATGATAATAGTCAAAATTGAAAGTTGTTTGCATCTTTTAAGTTTTGTTGCGGTGAAAGTTCCTTTTCCGCTGAAAGTATATGAAAAAATTCATTGGAATATTTAAATTACGTTGAATTATAAATTAAATTACTTTCTTAAAATAATAGATAACATTTTAATCTCAGAAAAAAAAAGTTTTCGATTTGATTTAAATGGCCGTTAAATACTCTGGTATTAAACCTGGAAATTACTTAATTAAATACTTAACAAATATTGCAGAATTAATCAAATGTGTATGTGTTAGTAAAAACATTTTGTTTAACGTTAAGGTGATTTGTTAATTTAATTTTTTTATAGTTTTTTAATATTTTTATTTTTTCTATTAATATTTCTATTTTTTCTATTAATATTTGACGAAAATACATATTTTTAATCATGATTAAATAAATATGAGGTGAATTATTTGCTTAAATAGTAGGGTTTTACACTGTATTTTATTTTTAAAAAAGATCTCAAATAAAAAATATGACAAAAAATGTAAGATACAATTTAAGCTTATTTAAGGTCTCTGGGTATTATAACGATGAGGTACGTATTGAAAATCTTCAGAATAGCTTTTCTTAGTAAAAAAAAATCACGTCTTTTGTAGGTGATGAAGTATTTATGTAATATATTTGTTGCTATAAGTTAGGAAACTAGCGAAGTTTCTACTTGAAAACAGTACTTAGAAACAGTTCGATGCAAAAATGTGAAAAGATCTTAAAAAAAAACTTTAAATGGTAGCATTTAACTGTATGTTACTTTATTTTATCTAAAGGTTGTGCTGGAGTTTGAAAAAAAAATTGGCTTATATTTACATTTTTCTTTTCAATTGAATCAAAGAGAAGGAATGTTCAACTTATTGCTATACACTATGTTACGTAACGACTACCTTTAATATGTAATTTTATTATCCTTAACAAAAATAAAAAATAAAAAGGCCAGGCATTAAGAGTTTCAAATTAATATTAGGACGCCATCAAATTAGTATTAGGACGAAGGCGAAATGTAAAAGAGAGCAGATGTATTAAACCTCAAAAAAGTTTTAATTTAAGGTTGAAACTACTATAGGACTTTCTAATAGTTGTCTTTCAAACCATCTCTGTTTCTCCTTGCAATCATCTTGTCTTGTTATTTATTTCTCCGGCTTTATCTGTATCAAAGTTCGTTAAATTTTGAGATCGTTTATGTAAATCAATGCCAATCAAATGCAATCAAGTGTGTATACTTTTTTGGTTTCATTTTTGATAAAGATTATAAAAGTACATATTATGGGATATATTGAATGACCTTGAATGATATTTTGAATGGATATATGAATTAAGGTAAACAATGTGAAATAGCACAAATAACGTCGCATTTACAGATACGTTCGCTTTGTAAGAAAAACATTCCTAATTATCAAATTACAAAACGAAATAGGGGATCTTAGAGATGCAGTAGAAAATTGCAATCAATTTACAAGTCTCCTGTTGTAAACAAGAAAAAGAAATAGGATTGACCAACAGTTAGGAGAAATTTTAAGAAAGGTTATAAAACAAAAGAGGATAGATAAGAAACGTGCGTTTAGGCTAACCCCTGATGTAACCTCTGTTTCGAATTTTCTTTTGCATATCTGAGGTTCTTCGGGACATTGAAGAAATTTACTCATTATAGAACTAAACTAAATATGCATGTATGTGTGGCCTTATTTGTCCTCCTTTTGCGATATCTAACGCGATGTTTTAAATTGTAGTTTGTTTTCATAGTTTTTGTTTTAATTATTGCTGATTTAAATTACGGTGATATAAATGTAATATTTATAACAGATATTTTTCTCTTTCAGTGAGACATTTTATTTATACAAAATCTCTTTTTTATGGCACAATGTAATTGGATTATTACTGACATTGTTATTTACTTTTATTGCTGTTCTATTTACAGGTAAGTAAATAGATTAATAATAGATTAATAGGTCAGTAAATAATATATATTAATTGTTTTAATTTTTTATTGGTACTGTAATGATATTTATGGAGTGAAAAAAAAGGCATAATTCTGGTTAATGAAAGAAAAAATGAAAGGTTCAATTGTATTTGAGAAAATTAAACTTAAGAATTCAGAATGTGTGACACAATAAATTGTAATTAATGAGAAGTAATTTTACTTAACAATATATAGCGATAACCTTAT